TTGAAAGGTGTCCCCCAGGTGCGGTTGCGGTTGCGCGCCCGCGGGCGGGTTGAAATGTGTCGCCCACAAGCGGTTGCGGTTGCGCGCCCGCGGGCGGGTCGGAATGTGTCGCCCAGAAGCGGTTGCGGTTGCGCGCCCGCGGGCGGGTTGAAATGTATCGCCCAGTTGCGTTTGCGCGCCCGCGGGCGGGTGTGCAATGTGTCGCCCAGTTGTGGTTGCGGTTGCGCGCCCGCGGGCGGGTTGAAGGGTGTTGCCCAGTTGCGGTTGCGGTTGCGCGCCCGCGGGCGGGTTGAAATGTGTTGTCGCCCAGTTGCGGTTGCGCGCCCGCGGGTGGGTTGAAATGTGTCGCCCAGTTGCGGTTGCGCGCCCGCGGGCGGTTTGAAATGTGGCGCCCGGTTGCGGTTGCGCTTGCGCGCTCGCGGGCGGGTTGAAATGTGGCGCCCGGTTGCGGTTGCGGTTGCGCGCTCGCGGGCGGGTTGAAAGGTGTCGCCCAGGTGCGGTTGCGGTTGCGCGCCCGCGGGCGTATTGAATTGTGTCGCCCAATTGCGTTTGCGGTTGTGCGCCCTCGGGCTGGTCGTAATGTGTCGCGTAGTTTCGGTTGCGATTGCGCTCCCGCGGGCGGGTTGAAATGTGTCGCCCAGTTGCGTTTGCGCTCTCGCGGGCGGGTGTGCAATGTGTCGCCCAGGTGCGGTTGCGGTTGCGCGCCCGCGGGCGTATTGAAATGTGTTGTCGCCCAGTTTCGGTTGCGCGCCCGCGGGCGGGTTGAAATGTGTTGTCGCCCAGTTGCGGTTGTGCGCCCGCGGGCGGGTTGAAATGTGTCGCCCAAGTGCGGTTGCGGTTGCGCGCCCGCGGGCGGTTTGAAATGTGTCGCCCAGTTGCGATTGCGGTTGCGCGCCCGCAGGCGGGTCGAAATGTGTCGCCCAGTTTCGGTTGCGCGCCCGCGGGCGTGTTGAAATGTGTTGTTCAAGGTTCCCTCCTGACGTTCAGTCAGTCGATCAGCCAGTCAGTCAGTCAGTCAGTCAGTCTGTCTGTCAGTCAGTCGCCGGCGGGCACGGAATTTCACCCGGCTCCGCCGGAAAAAAAACCCAAACATTTTCTCAGACGTCGCATCTTTCCGTCACGTCGGCCCCTGGGGGCGCAGGAACGAAATTAGGACATACACCACGTACATGAGTCCACGCTGGTTTCGAGAGTACGCATTGCCCGAAGGTTCGTCTCACTCGGCCAGTCTCGCGGATCGAGGGGCCGTGTTCATGTACATGGCTGGGCGCGTACGTCCTCTGTGGGCTCCCTACAGGGATTACGACCTCCCTTGCTCCGGTCTTGAGCCCCGATCTTGAGCCCCGATCTTGAGCCTCGATCTTGAGCCCCAGCCCCTAGGGATCACGACCTCCCCTGCTCCGGTCTCGAGCACCGATCCGCTCTTCGCGGCCCTGGAGCCGGGAAGCGGCCTCCGGAGTCCAGAAGCCCAGACCCCCGCCGCCAGGAGTTTCTCACAGCGTCGACCCCCAGTCTCGACCCCTTCCCCGGGACCGGTTTCGTCCTGAGGCGTTTTTTGTCGGGGGCGGCAGAGAGGGGGGTGATGACTAGGTGTGGGGGGATATCATGGCGTGGGCCATGACATTTCCCCAGATTTCATGGCGTCTCTTCTGATTTCATTACGTCCCTGGCCCCCCCCCCCCTTGGGCCGCGCACATGCCGCCGGCCATAAACTGCACCCCCCCCTCTTGGACGCGCCCCTCCTGGTCTCCCCCGATGTTCGACGGTCCCGAGGTCCGGTGAGGGCGCCTTGAAGCCACAGTGGGCGAAAAGCCTGCCGCCCTGATTTGTCCACTGCTCGAGGGGAGAGCATGCTACGCATGGAATGAATTCAATGGAAACCAATTGCAGTGGATCCCCGAGTGGATCAATCTGGACTGATGAGGCTATGATGCCTCTTTTGATCTTTGCCCGCTATGATGCCCGCTCGTGCCCACCCCGTCCCGTCTTCAGGGACTTCCTCCTATGATGGTAAGATGGGAGCGTAGTAGAAGAATCAGGAGGGGAAAAAACATACAGACACAATTAATCGTCGATTCCCAGGAAAATATGGGAAACTATGGGAAGTGGTGGGGAAGACAGAAACCAAGAAATTATGGGAAAATATGGGGAATCCTTTTATTTGTGTGTATTTATTTGTGTGTCCTTGGGCCCCTTGAAAGAAGCCAGCCGCCGCGGGTCTTCTGGGCCGCCCCCTCGAGCCTCGGACCTGGCCGCCGGCCTGCGCGAGGTGCGGGTCCTCGGCCTGGACACGCCGCTGGAGGGCGGCGAGCCGGCGCCAGTGGTCGTTCCCGAGCCCAGGAAGGGCCCCCCCCCGCGGCCCCGCGGCCTTCCCTTCCCTCCCGTCCTCTTGCGGACCGGGGGCGGCCAGGAGGGGGGGTGATGACTGGGCGGGGTGGATCTCATGGCGGGGGCCATGAGATTTCCACAGATTCCCTGGCGCCTCGTCTCCCTTCGATCCCTTCCCTCCCTTCCTCCTTCGGAGGAGAAGAGCCTCGAAGAGATCAGAACGCCATAAACATGAACTTTTGGCGCTCCGCGCGGATTTCTTGGATCGGCGCCTGGGCCCGGCGGTGCCTCCGGCGTCGCCCCTGGAGCGCTCCGCAGATGCAAGAAATCTGCGCGGAGCGCCAAACGTTTATGTTTATGGCGTTTCTTCTTCTTCGACGGAAGAGTCAGCACAAACAGAGTTAGGCTTTCGGAGGGTGTCCGCAACGCTTCATAGGCCCGTACGCAGCTCGCTGGCAGCTCCCATGGGCAGCCCTTCGCAGGCTCTCTTGTGAAGAAGCCCGCAGGCGGTGCTTTCTCGGCTCGTGCTGGGAGCTCCCGGGTCCCAGGCGGACCTTGGAAGCTAGCTTGGAGAGGTGGCGCGAGTCTCTCAGCGCATATGCCCGCAGCCGCGCCTGCGCTCACGTGCCCGCGCGCCCATGCCCGCGCGCCTGCGCCCCCGCCTGCGCCGACGCCCGCGCCCGCCTGCGCCTCAGCCTGGACCCGCACTCGCGCCTGCGCCGAAGCCCGCGCCCGCGCCTGCATCCGAGTTTTGGGTTACACAAGTTTCAGCTCGCATCCGAGAACCACATCCGACGACGACGACGATCTCGACGTTTCCAGGAGCCTCCTCGTTAACGGAACAGAGGGGGAGGAGAAGAGAGGGAGGAGGAGGAGGAGGAGGAGGAGGAGGAGGAGGAGGAGGCGGAGGAGGAGGAGGAGAAGGAGGGGGAGAAGGAGAATCGAGAATCGAGGGTGGAGGAACGAGGGTCGTAGATCGAGAGGATCGGAGATGAGGGAGGAGGAGGAGGAGGAGGAGGAGGTGGTGGAGGAGGAGGAGGAGGAGGAGGAGGAGGAAGAATAGGAGGAGGAAGAGGAGGAGGAGGAGGAGGACGACAACGACGACGACGTTCCAGGAGCCTCTTCGCGAACGGGGCGATCTTCGCGGCCCTCTTCTGCGCCGGGGCCTTCGCGGAGGGCGAGCTCCTGGCTTCCGGGGAGGCCCACAGGAAGGCGCTGGAGGAGGTGAACGCGCAGAGGCGCGCACCGCCGACGTCTCGTCGCGTCGACGCTGCCGCTCCTCGGAGCTCTCCTGACGCTCCTGGGACGCTCTCTGGGACTTTCTCTGGCCGCTGCGGCCCGCGGCCGCGCACGGGCTCGGAGAGGCGGCTAGGAGGCGGGGCACAGCAGGGGCTGCGGGGTGGCAGGCTCCGAGCGCGAGCCTCCGGATGCAGCGCGCGGGAGGGCGCCCCATCGAGGAGGTGGAGGGGGAGGAGGAGGGGGAGGAGGAGGAGGAGGAGGAGGAGGAGGAGGAGGAGGAGGAGGAGGAGGAAGAGGAGGAGGAGGAGGACGACGAGGAGGAATAGGAGGAGGAGGATGAGGAGGAGGAGGAGGAGGAGGAGGAGGAGGAGGAGGAATAGGATGAGGAATAGGATGAGGAGGAGGAGGAGGAGGAGGAGGAGGAGGAGGCCTGGGGGTCGAGTACCCGAAGAGGCATCGAGGCTGATGGGCGCCGAGTGGTGCCTCTGGAGGCGTCTGGGTGGCTTTTCGTCGCCACGGTCGGGTTCTCTTCGACGGTCTGACCACAGAACGTACACCACGACAGGCGAGAGGACTCGATCCGGGGAGGATCCCAGACCTCTGACGTCGTGAGTCTTCGATCCCAGCGTTTTTCTCCAATGTGTGCTCCCGGAGGCCGCCTCCTGGGGCCGTCAAAAATAGGCACCTGTCTGGGACGGGACGGGGCGGGGCGCATTCAAACTTTGACAATCCTTTTCCGCAGCCCTTGCTGCTCGCTTCGACGACCCCCCCTGCCTTCTCAGCAGGCCGCCCCGATCGTCCCGCACGACCGACCGGAAGTCCGCCTGCCCAGGGCCTGGCGAGCCTGTCGATTCGCGTCCAGCCCTGGCAGCGAAACCACCCACCACGCACGCCCGAACGTTGGGGGGTGGACAGGCCTCCTACCCCGACACGTCGATTAGCGAATGGGCCGTTCTCGGTTCGCGAGAGGGCCTCGCGGCCGTCATTTTGGCGGGTCCAGGTCCGTTGGTTTCGCTCCCAGCCCGTTTTCACTAAAGGGAGGTTTACCGAAGGGAGGTCTGTCCACCGCCGAGCTACAGCCTGGGTGGCAGCACTGGCGCCAGGCTGCGAAGCAGCCCACCTCGAAGCAGGCTGCGGCCGGGTGGCGCTGGCGTTGGCAAAAGCAGCGACGGATGTGCTACAGTGGAGGCCCATGCCAGAGCTCGCCTCCACCGCCGAAAACGCCTCCGAGACGACGACTTCCGCCGCTGGCAGCAGGCCAGCCGCTCGCTTCGGCACGCCGCCGGCGGGCCCTCCCTTGGCGCGGCCGGCCGGCCGCTCGGCACCTGCGGGAGCCGGCCCCGCCCACCGCCGCCGCCCCCGCGCTTCCTTCCCCTCCCTCCACCTCCCGATCCCTCTCCCGATCCTCCTCCTCCTCCTCCTCCTCCTCCTCC